AATGGATAGAGAAAAGAGCTCTTATCACTTATAATGATCATTTATCCAATGCATTCAATGTTTTCCCTTCTACCTTATCGTGCTAATAAGTGATTAATCACTATGATTGATGATTAGTTTTGCAAAATGCAATGGATTAGTCAATTTCAATTATTAAATTGTAAGTTTTAAATTCAAAAATATAATTTAAAAGTAAAAAACTTCCTTTTTTTTGAAAAAAGAAACAATATTTGAAATTATTTTGTGCCTTTTTTTTTAATGCTGCTATTATTTTTAATTGATCTATTAAAATTTAAGTATTTCATTCCTCGTTTTAATGATATCATTTATTCTGAATTATTTTCTCATATTTAAATAATTGCATGCAATTGCTATTAATCCTATAACGTTTCTTGATTGATTGAACAATTTGATGTAAAGTATATTTTTTGAGCAAAATTTCACAAATCTAAATGAAATTTCAGAAACACTTATTTTATAATTTAACTAGCTATAAGAACTTTTATGTTTTTCGATTTAATTTATTCAAATTTCATCTAAGATCCTTAAATTTTTACTTTTAAAGCACTCTGTTGAAATGAAAAGTATATTTGAAATTATTTTTCTAAAATTCACTTCAAACTAGCAGAAATTTCTAGAAGTAATTGAACTTATAGTAGTCAATCAGTCAGAGATTTTTTTTTTTTTTTTTCTTTAAACACCAAACTATGATATTAAATTTTTTTTTTCGAGATGGAAAAGGACAAATATTTTTGTGATTAAATTATTGCTTTTTACAAAGATACAAATGTAGCAATTATAGAAGAGTTACGAGGAGATAAGGAACGAAAGAATTTCAAAAATCAAATTTTGAGCGGCATTTAAAGGGCGCAAAAAAAAATGAAGAAGCAAATTTATGGTTTTGTTAGAATAGAAGTAGAAGAACGATTGAACTTTTTTTTTTTCTTTTTGATTTTAAAAGATAAATCAACAAAGTACAGATCGAATAGACTTGTTCAACAGCAATGTTCAAATTCATTACAACTGTATCAGCAAACATTTTTCATCAATTTAAAAATTTCAAAAAAAAAAAACAATAATATTTAATTAATCCACAAATTTCATAAAAAAAAAACAAATTGAAAAATTTGCAAAAAAAAATAGATACTTAATTAAACTAATATTTCATTCTAATTAATAAATTATATTTATTGTTAAAATAATGTTTAATAAAAAATAACAAATAAATATGCTTCAATAAGAAAAAAAAATTATTAGCTTACAAAATTTTTGCACTAAAATTCCATCGAAATTATTAAATTAATGTTTAAGTATTTAATTTTAATTAAACTATTTACACAATGAATGATATAAACAAATTGTCGTATATTTAGATATATTTCTTAGTAGCACAATTCTTCCTCACAAAAAAAAAAAAAAAGAAAAAACTATTCATCTAAATCATTTGTTTTTCTCATTGATTGCTTTGAAGTGCTTGTGACTATTGCTATTCGTTTTTCGTTTCAAAAATAAAAATTAAATTTTTTTTTTTTCTTTCATCTTCTTCGTATTTTTTTTTTTGTTTGTTTGTTTGCTTCTTTACATATTTTTGAAATTATTAATGAAATTAACACTTTTAATTTTATATTGCTATGAAAATTTAACAGCGCAAATTGTATGATTTTTTAAGTTTCTTTTTTGTTGTTGTTGTTGTTGTTCTGTTTTATGACATAGTCATTTATATGAAAAATAATTCAATTTATCTTTTCTTTAAATTTTTTTAAAATTTGAGAATTTGAGAAACTTTTTTCTTCAATATAATTTTATCAAATTTAAGTAAAATTTAAAAGTTAACATGAAAAGTTTTAAAGTATTTTACGCATACATTTTATCTCAAATTGCAATTTTTTTTAAGTTTAAATAAAATGTAGAAATTGTAAGATGAATTTTAATTGTGTATTTTGAGAAAGAATGTTAAAATTTCAAAATGAAATTAAACTACGTATTTATTTGAAATGGAAATATTTCGAGTGAAAACGCAAAATAATTGTCATCGTTGATACAAGTTGATACGAATACATTACATTGTTTCAAACTAATTACTTTTTTCATAGTTAATTTCATTTTTCAAAAATTCATTTTTAGTTTCGAAATTTACTTCTTTCCTTCACTTTTTTTTCTGCTTTTTTCAACATTTTTCATTTAAATATTTTACATTTTCCTAATTTTCCTACTTCAATTCTATGTGAATTTCAGTCTATGCAAAATGTTTTGTAAATTTAAAAATTCAAAAAAAAAAAAAAAAAAAAAAAAATTTGAATATATTTTCACTAAAAATATGTGCATACATTTGAACAATTTTACTTTCTTTCAAATTTCAAAATTAAGACTACGAAATGATATTTGAAGTTTATTTTTTATAAAAAAAATTTTAATATTTCAAATTTTGAATTGTTTAAAATTTGCAACAAACTAAATTTAACAGTGATGAAAAATATTTTCTAGAAGAGAACTTCTTATCATTTTGATTTAACTATTAGTAATTTATTAAATAGTACTAATTAATTTTTAATTAAAAATTAGCTAATTAAAAAAAATGACTCATTTGGTGACAATTTAAAAAATGTTTAGCCATCATAATGTAATAATATTAATTTAATGAGGAACTTCTAAAATTCTTAATGAGAAATTCTTAATTTGTTTCAATTTTTTCACAGATCTAAAAATCTCTCTTTGAACTTTTTTAAACATTCGCTTTAAAAAAAAAAAAAAAAAAATCAAATTATTTGGAAGCAATCATAAAATTATTTATTGTCCATGATTCGAATGGTCAACAATGATCTAATTAATTAATCAATTAGTTACTTATGTAATTGCACCAAAAAATTATACTAAACTATTTTCAATGAAATATTCGTTTCAAAAAAAAAAAAAAAGATATGAAAGAAATTTTTATCAAATATTTTTATTTAAAAAAAAAAAAATTTATTCTTCAATGAATTCGTAATTATGTTTTATAGTAATCACAAAAAAAAAGAAAACACACATATTTTACTAATTATGCTTAGAGTAATCACTCATATTTTGTTTACTTCATAAAAAAAAAAAAAAAAAAAATAGAAAAAAACATCCTTATTAGATTGCTCATTAAATTTTCCTCTTTTTTTGCAAATTTTAATTGAACTGAAAAAATTAACAAAAAATAAAAAATAAATAAAATAAATGTATGGTTATTATTTTGTAAACAAATGAAATGTTTGCTTTTGGAAATGAATTAATTTTGATTTTAGAACTTTTTTTTCGTTTTTTAAATTTGAAATTTCTTAATCTTCAAAATTTCTATATTTGTTTTTTTTTTTTTTTTTGTTTTTTATAGTTTACAATTAAATACTAGTCATATAATACATTGGAAACTGAAACAAACAATCGCTTTTTAATTTATTTTCGATGGAAATTATTTTTCAATTTTTTGTTTATTTTGGCATTTTTTTTGTCATCGGTATTATATTATATTCATATGTTTCATTTTAATTTTAAATATGCAATTTTAATTTTGATATACAATTTAAAAATATAGTTTTTTTTGAATATAGCTTTAAAAATAAATTTTATTATAGTTCAAAACTAATATTGTTTAAAAACTTAATTTTATCGATTTGTTTAATTGTTGGTTTTTTTTTTTTTGAAACGAAGAAATTTTGTCGGATTGTTTATTTGTTTATTATTTATTTTTATTCTTGAAACCAAGAACTTTTTTTTTTTAATTTCTCTTTTATATATATTCGTCCTCTTGCGATAATACAGAATTTCGAAAAAAAAAATCTATTGAAATTGAAAGGAAAAAAAAAAATTCACATCGAAATTTTTTATTCACTATTCCTTCATTATTAAAATTTCATTTTTTTTTTCACATTTTTTACCAATAATTATTTAAATTTTCAAATATTTAATAATTAGTAATTAAATTCTTTTTAGCTATTAATTATTTGAATTACATTTAGTGCAACTCTATTTCAATTATTTTTATTGCAACTATTGCACTGTTTAAAAAATATTAAAATTTAACATTTAAATGAGAAATAATATTTTTTAATAAATCATTTTGTTAAATGCTTTTAAATTCTTTGGAATTTTAAATTCATTGATTTAAATTAAGTTTGCTTGAATTGATGAAAAAAATTTTTTTTAATCTAATTTCGATCAGATATGTGATTAAAATTAATTTAATATATCTTAAAATTATTTTTTATTTTTTGTCTTTGTTACATTTTTTTTTTTTGCATGCAAAAATTGATAAATTATTGTTTCCAACAATTATTTTGATTTTGAATTTAATTTTTTTTTTTTCATTTACACATAATTCTTAATTCATTGTAATGAATAAATCAGAGAAAAAAAAAATAAATTTAATCGCACAAAAAATTTTTTCGCAAATTTAATTTACTAAAATTAAAATCAATTCTGAATCTAAGACCAATACATTTAATTAAGTTAACATTTATGCTTAAAATTTAACGATAAATAAAATTTTGTCATTTTTTAAATATAATTTTTTTTTTCTCAAATATTATTTTTAATTTAAATTCAACAAATTTCATTATGATATTACTCTATTATTAAGTTTTTCTATAAATTACTAACATTTTGGTGATTTCTTTTTTTTTTTAAACCAATTTTATTATAAATTTGTTTATAGCTATTTGTTTATTTATAATAAAATTTATTTATGCATTTTTTTTTCATTTGTTTATTTTTAATTTAATTTTTTTAAAAAAAAAATAATTTTTCATTTAATTGTTTATTTAGTAAGTGTACAAAGAGAAAAAAAAAAAACATTCATTCGATATTATTATTATTAATCTTATCAATATTATTTCATTCGCTGCTGTTTGATTTTAAAAGTAACATTTAAAATATTATTGAATTATTTAAAAATGTTATATTAATAGGAATTAAATAATAATATTAAATCGAATTAATCATTTAATAATTTAGTAAATGATAATTACAGAACAAATAGAATGCCGGGTAAGAAGAAAAATGGATCATATAATATAATATCAGAGGATCTCTATGATTGTCGTATTCCGCTCCACAATGAACTTGCTTATCAGCATGGCATTCACTTTGATGCTAAGGTTCTTATCATTATTATCAGTATTTGATAAGCATTTTGCAATGAAAAGTTATCATTTTAAAAATTCAGCAAAATAAAACAAAAACGTTTTTTGATCATAATAATTTTGCATTTGATATTATCACATTGGCATTCAATTTGATGCTATGCTTCATATCGGTATTATCAGTATTTGGTAAGCATTTTACAATGAAAAGTTATCAAATTAAAAATTTAATGAAATAAAAAAAAAAAACGATTTTTGATCATAATAATTTTGCATTTGATATTATCAGTATGGCATTCACTTTGATGCTAAGGTTCTTATCATTATTATCAGTATTTGATATGCACTTTATAATGAAAACTTATCAATTTAAAAATTTAATAAAATAAAAAAAAACGATTTTTGATCATAATAATTTTGCATTTGATATTATCAGTATGGCATTCACTTTGATGCTAAGGTTCTTATCATTATTATCAGTATTTGATAAGCATTTTACAGTGAAAAGTTATCAATTTAAAAATTTAACAAAATAAAACAAAAACGATTTGATCATAATAATTTTCTACTTGATATTATCACATTGGCATTCAGTTGCTAAGCTTCTTATCAGTATTTGATAATCATGTTACAATTAACACGGAAAAGTTATCAATTTAAAAATTTAACAAAATAAAACAAAAAAAACGAATTCTAAAAACAATAATTTTTTTTTTTTTTGAATTAGAATAATTTTTGAATTTGATTTCACATTAATTTATATTAAAGAAAAACAAAAATATTTGATTCAAAACTTAGTTCTAATACTATTTTTCATAAGTATCAAAAAATACAATAAAATTTAAAAATTCAGGAGAAGATAGATATAAAATTTTTAATAAACAAAACAGTTTTTTTTTTTTTTTTTTAATTTAATAAATATAAAATAAAGAAAATTATGATGAATAATTTTAGCATTATAGAAGAAGAAATTAATTTCAAAAAAAAAAAAAAGACAAAAGAAAAAGTTGAGAATAATTTGAAAATTTCATTTCTTATTGTTGTAGCAATTAATTAATAATATTTGAAATGCTATGAAAAGACATTTAAATTAAGTAAATAAATGTAGCAGCTAAATGATCGATGCATTTGTTTTTAGCTAACAATTTGGTAGCATTTCTGTTAGTTTAATAAATTTCAATTTAATTTATTGATTTTCAAAATTTATTAGACTTAAAGAAGTAAATGATTAAATTTACTTATATAAAAAAGCAAATTATTGTTTATCTATTTTTTTTTTAAGAAAACTCAAAGGTTTATTATTTATTTATTTAAACGAATTTATTTATTTTTAAAGAAAACAGAACGTAAAGGATAAGCAAAAAGCATTGTATGCTTAATAAACTTATCGTTATTACAACTTATCGTTAGCATTTTAACTTTAACCTTATTGGGTTGACTTTAACCTTATAAGGTTACAAAGTTACCTTGAAAATCATTTTACCTTTATTTTTAATAATTAAGAGATTACTGAGAAATTAACTCTAAACCATTTAACAGTAATATTTACTTACATAGAATTAAACAATTTCTTCTTTTTAATTGAATTTTTTTTTTGACTTTGACAAATAATACTATCAATTGAAGCAATAAAAAATTTACTCAAAAAACTGCAAATAAAGTATAATGAAGTAAAAATTCACAAAAATTTTAATTTTTAATTTTATAAATAGAAAAATTTTGCTACAATTTTGTCACTAAAATTGAATTTGATAATAAATAAAGCAAATGAAAAAAATTTTTTGTATGCTAAAGTTTAAAAGTTGTAATATAAAGTTAGCTTAAAAGTCAGAAACAAGTAAAAAAAAAAAAATTTTCGATTATTTCAAGGATAATTTTAACTCCAATCTTTTTCGAAATTTAATTCAAATTTTAAAAATATCATTGTTCTGTTATCATTATCTTTCAGAAACAACTAAAAGAAAAAAGTTTTTAATTATTCCAAAGATAATTTTAACTTCAATCTTTTTCGAAATTTAATTTAAATTCTAAAAATGTCATTGTTCTGTTATCATTATCATTGTTTTTTTTTTTGGAAGTAATTGCTGAACTAATCATCTTTAAAATTTCAAAATTTTACAACATAACAAGCAAAATCAATTTTAAATCATTTTAAAACAAAAAAAAAAAAAAAAAAAAAAAATGAAAATTTGTATTTAAAATAAAATGAAATAATATTCTTTAAATGGAACGAATTATAAATAATAAAAATTTTAAATATTTTAAATGTATATGAAATATTTTAAAAAAAAAATGAAACTTATTACATAATTTATTAAATTAATTTTTTGTTTTTAAATTTCAGTACGTAGGAAGTATGGAAATACCCCGACCCGGCTCACGTATCGAAATTGTCGCAGCAATGCGTCGAGTTCGGGTAAATTCAACTTTATATAAAGTAAATTACATAACATACATCAAAACATAAAGTTTTTATTTAATAATCAAAAAAAAAAAAAAAACTTTAATTAAAAATTTTACAGTTTTATAAAATTAGAAAAGAAATTGTTCAATTCGTTTTTTTTTTTTTTTTTCATTTTATTTTATTGATGAAATAATTTATAATTTTTAACTTTTTTTTTCCTACTTTTGATAGAAATAATATCTTTTCATGTAGTATTCATTAATTATACGTAAGGACATAATGTGTTACACGTAAAGGAAAGCGTATTTCACGTTTTTTTTTTTTTGAAAACAATTAATACTGTTGGTTGTTGTTTACTGTTTCAGTATGAATTCAAAGCACGAGGAATTAAGAAACGTCCGGTTGATATTACCGTTTCTATTGATGGTATTAAAGTTGTTCTACATCGAAAAAAGGTTTTTTTTTTTTAAATTATTTTTTTTTTCAAGAAAAAAAACTTTAATTTTATTATTAATATTATTGTTATATTTTAATTCTACGGTACATATTTGAAAAATTTAACTAATTATGAAGTATTAATTATTAATAATTATATGACAATACAATTTAGAATTTTGTTTTTAATTAATTTATTTATTGCATTTATTTTAGAAAAATCAAAAGGAGGCAACTTGGGACGAAAGCAAACTTTTGGTGATGTTTCATCCCATTCATAGGTTTGCATCTATCTATGCATTTCTTTTATTTACTTCTCAAATGTTTCTTGAAAAAAAAATTAACATTTTAATTTGCATAGATCTAAAAATATTAGCAAGTTTCAGGCAGTGATCAAATTAATATATTAATAATTAAAGTAATTTAACTTAATAAATCTTACAACATTAAATATTTGCTATGAAATCTCATTGTTTTTTCTCTTTTTCGGATTGATAATTTTATTTGGTTTAGATCACTTTGATTAGATGATCACAAGATAACAAAAATTAGTGCATAATGATCGTTACTATCGAGTTAGAACAAATCAGATTTGGAAATTTCTCGAATTTTCTTTTTGTTTTCTTTTTTCGAGAGCGAAAAATTGGAAAATATTATTATTATGAATTTTATCAATATATTAATAACTAAATAAATTTAGCGTGAAAAATTAAATAATTGTTGTGGAATTCACATTAATATATTAATAATTAAATAAATTTTACTCGATAATTAAATAATTGCTAAGAAATTTTCATCGTTTTTTTTTTTCCTTTCTCGGATTAATAATTTTATATGGTTTGGATCACTTTGATTAGTTGTTCACAAAATAACAAAAATTAGTGCATAATGATCGTTTCTATCAAGAAAGTTTTTCGGACTTCTCAGTAATTTAGGGAATTCCCAACTTTTCTTTTTTTCCGGGAACAAAAAATTGGGCAATATTATTATTATGGGTTTTTAAAGCAGTAATCAAATTAATATGTTAATAACTAAATAAATTTAGCGTAAAAAATTAAATAATTGTTATGAAATTCATAATTAATATATTAATTACAAAATAAATTTCACTTAACAAATCCTACGAAATTAAATATTTGTCATGAAATTTCCATTGCTTTATCCCTTTTCCGAATTGATATTTTTATTTGGTTTAGATCACTTTGATTAGTTGGTCACAAAATAACAAAAATTAGTGCATAATGATCGTTCCTATCACGAAAGAATAAATCAAATTTGGGGATTTCTCGAATTTTCTTTTTGTTTTGAGACAAAAATTGGAAAATATTATTATTATTATTATTATGAATTTTTCTCGCAAAAAAGGCAAATAAAAATTTATTATAGAATAAAAATTTTTCTTAAACAAAAATAATGATAAAATTATGATAATTAAATTTTTTGCTTTACTTTATGCAACAATTAGTATTCGTTATTTTTATCATTGTAACAAATTATATTGCTAATCTATTTAAATGTTTTCTTTTTTAGTAATATAATCTAATACTTTTTGAAAAAAAAAATTTATGATATAATTATAAATTTAATTTTGATTAAATTTTATTTTTTAAATTCCAGGGTTTTTTATGTATCTCACGATTCTCAGGATTTACAAATATTCTCTTATATTGCGCGTGATGGTGCGTCAAACACGTTTAAGTGTAACGTGTTCAAATCTTCCAAAAAGGTTTAATATTATTTTTATTTTGATTTCTTTTTTTAAATAATTTCAGGTATTATTGTTTGACTGTTGAAAAAACGAGTAATTATGCATGTGTAATTTGTAGCAAAAATTTAAACTTTTTGAATGGAATAAATTAATCTTATCCTAATCTAGACCTGAAATTAGCTTACTTTATCGTAAATTTGTACTAGTATAACTTAACTTATATCTAATAGAAATGAAGTATTTCATTTTAACATTTACTAATTAAGGATTTTAGCATTTATTTTGTTAGTAATAAAAATTTTTATTACTATTTTTTTTTGATAGTTTTGAAAATTTTTTGTTTTTTGACTTTTCTTTTTTTGTACAACAAAAGTTTTTTTTTTTCTTTGTAATTTGCTAATATTAAAATAATATAAATCGAACATTAGAAATTTTAGAATTTTTTTAACAATTGAATTCTTTTTTAATTAGAATTGAAAAATTCTGTAAGAATCTTTTTTTTTTTTTCGAAAACTTTTTATTAATTTCTTAAACATCAAATAATACTAAATGCTTTTTCTTTTTGTCAACAATTTTTTTTTTTGGAACTTAACTGAATAATATATTAAATTTGAAATTTTGATAAATACTTTTTTTTACAATATTATTTTATCAATTTGCCAAAGTGAAATAAAATGGAAAATGAAGAATTCATTTATGATTATTTCAAATGATTATTATTCCTGTTGAATTATTATTATTTAAAATTAGTTTAGAAATAAAAAAAGCATGTTAATTTAATATTTTGTAGAAATAAAACTTTCCTCTCATTTTAGAAGCAAAAATAAAAATTTTTCCCATTTATTATAATTTAATTATTTTAAAAAGAAAACGCATAAAAACGAAATATTAATTAATTAATTATAATTAATTAATATTGAGAAAAAAGCATCGAATATTTTTTAATATTCATCTAAGATCAATAATATTTTGTGGAAAAAAAAAAGTATTTTTTTTTAGTAAAATTTTGTAGTAAAAGAAATTTTTAACAATTAAATAATTTAAAAATGAATTATTCACATTACATAAATTTATTAATTACAAATTAAATTCAAAGAGTAAATTAAATAAAAAAAAAATTTGATTAACGTTTGCAACAACAAAAACATATCATTTAATTTCTTTTTTATTATCTGTTTGTTTTATCAAAACACTTTAAATTACTTTATGTCAATTTATTCTTTATGTATAATTTATTTTCATTTAATTGTTGACAATTTCAAATTTTGATAAATTCAAAAAAAAAAAAATAAACTATGATTAAATGAGAATAAGAATCCAATTATAATAATTTATGATAGTTATACCAAATTTCTGTAAACCTTTTTTTTTAAAAAATTTATTAAAAATTCAAAAAAATTTCAACAAATAATAATTTGTTTATTAATATTCACGGATTTTACAAAGTTAAATTTTTGAAAATTATTTTGAATCACTTTTTCCGGAAACAATTTGTTAGTGATTGTGTCTGATTTATTTCTAACATTTTTTTGCTGCATAATTTTTTTTTTAAATGTTTTCAAAATGTTTGAAATTTAAAATATTGAAGGGATGTTTGATTTGTTTGATTGTTTCAAAAAAAAAATTTGCAAAATTTTTTAGTATAATATTTATTTTTAGTATAATATATATGAATTTTTTTTTATAAGAAATCATTCTAAGTTATTTATTTATCATAAAATATTATTTTTTTTTTTTTTATAATAAAATATTTTTTGTTTACAAAGATTCGATAGTTTGATTGAAATTTTTTTTTTTTTTTTTTTTTGCAATTTGATAGCTGAAATCATAATCCACTCAATCATTTATCATCAAATGATATTGCTCTTATCATTTATAATCTGACGATTGATCTGTTAACTTGAGATTCTAACTTTTTGCTTTTTTGTTTACTCAAAAATTTTAATTTGAAATTAAATTTATAGCTTAATATAAATTTAATAATTAAGTAATGAAAAGTTTATTCATATAAATGAGTATTGATTATTGATTTTTAATTATTCTCATTTTTTTTTTTTTTTTTAATCGATTATTCTTTACTGCGCAGTTTAAGTCCAATAATACTAAACTTTTAAAAAATAACTACACTAAATAAGAAATGAAAATTTTTATTCATAAATGAGTAATTATGAGTATTGATTATTGATTTTTAATTATTCTAATTCTTTTAATCAATGATTTTTTTTAATTGACAATTTAAGTTTAATGATACTAAATTTTTTTTTTTTTTGTAAAAAAAAATATCACTGATAACTTATTGTTATCATCAAACATTTTTAATATTTGACAAGGAATGATTGAAATTGAACTGTGCAATAAAGTAGTATCAATGATTTTATCAAATTGTTTGTAAGATTGATAGTTGAAGAAAGCATTTCACACTTTTATCAACAGCAAGTCAAATATTACACAATTTAAATTAAAATTTTACAATGGAATTACGAAAACAATCATTTTAAAGCTATAAAATGATGCATAGAGTTTATTTTGATTTTGAAATAAAATAATTAATAATTTTGCAAACATTTCAAAACTATTAAAACTAACTTTGTCTATAATAATACTACAAGAATTAATAATTAAAAAATAAGAAATATGAATGTACTAATCATTTTTTTTTTTTTTTTTCAATTTGTTCATTGACTTGAAGCAATAAATAACTATCTTGAGTTATCTGATCTTATCATTATTATCAGATCAATTAATTAGATTCATTTTTTGAAGACATCGCATTATTTTTACTTTTCAGTATTGATTTTTTTCATTATTATCATTATTGATTGGTATTTTTGAAATGATAAAGTAAATATTTACAAAGAATATCAATTGAATTTATTAGAATGTTTTGATTACATTTTTTTTTTCTTAACTTTTTTCTAAAATACTAACAATAATGAATGCATCAAAAATTGATAATAAAAAAATTAAACTTTTTCTAAACAATTTTTTGGAACTTTTATCATATTTTCATATTGTATGCTATTTAAATTTAAGTAATTAATTATTTTCTAAGTAATTAAAACGAGATATTAAAATATCTTTTAAATATTCATTGCACTGATTAATCTAACTATCATTGTTTACATCTTATTATTCTAATTATCATTGTTTGCATCTGATTATCATTGTTTACATCTGATTATTCCACTTATCATTGTTTACATCAATATCGTCGAGAGTAATAAAAGTTGACAAAGTTAAAAATTTTTTTTTAAAAAAAAAAATCAAACAATCTAAATGGACAAAATAATACTTTCATAAAAATTTATCTAATCATTGGCTAATAAAATTTGACTGTAATTTCTACATTTCAAAAAAATTTGCTCATTTCATATTTGTATTAATTTTATCTCTAACTCTTCGTTTTCGCCATTTTTCTGCTACACATTTATTGATTAATAATTAAGTAATTAATTAATGATTAATGGAATTTAGAACACATTTTACTTCGTTAGCAACACATTTGATCTAAATTTTGTAGATGGAATAGTGTAAAAATGAAAATAAATATTTCAAAAATAAGGTAAAAATTTTAATTTAAATTTTTTGTTAAATTAGAATTAAATTAACAGAATATATTTTTAATGTTTTCGTTTTTTCCTCATTAATAATAATTTAAATAATTTCTCTTTTTTTCGTTATCTGAAGAAATTGGTTTTAAAAAAAAGATAACTTTTTTTTTTTGACATTACTATTTGTGATTTTGATTTTTGAACGTTTTAAATTTATTTGATCAAGCAGAAAGATAAAAATTTACACCGACATATATCTCAGTGAATGATTGCAAGAAAAGAAAAATAAAAAAACTTTTAAGTAAGATTGTTTCATCAAATGTTATACATAGAATTATATTATTTATCGTTATCATTAGCATTATCACTGTTATCAAATGATAGTATTCATTAATGACATAATTATTATATCTCAATTACTGATAGTTATCATTTAAATTCATTATCATAGCATTCATCACTTTTATTCATTATGATTCTAATAGGTGCAGTCGTCGACATTATTATATTAGTATCATTTATCTTAACAGACGATGATACTGAAGTAATTATCATTATTACTATCACATTATCATTATCATTACCATTTGCCATCATTATTAATTAATATCATTATTATTAGCTTAGCGATAATCACACAAATATAGTGTCATGGTATCATTTTTATACTTATTACATTTATTATCACAAAATATAGCTATTATCACTCCTACCAAACTTGAATTAAGATATCATTGATAACACGTTATCATATCATTATTATCATTTATTACATTTATCACCACACATTACAGCTATTATCACCCCTACCAAACTGTAAACTAATCTTATCATCGATAACACATTATCATTGTTATCACTTATTACAGCTACTATCATTCTTACCAAACTGTAAACTAACCTTATCCTTGATAACACATTGTCATTGTCATCAACTATTATATTTGTTATCACACGTCACTTATCATTCTTTATCATTCTCATCAAACTGTAAACTAATCTTATCGTCGATAACACATTATCATTGTTATCACTTATTACAGCTACTATCATTCTTACCAAACTGTAAACTAACCTTATCCTTGATAACACATTGTCATTGTCATCAACTATTATATTTGTTATCACACGTTACTTATCATTCTTTACCATTCTCATCAAACTGCAAACTAATCTTATCGTTGATAACATATTATCATTGTTATCACTTATTACAGCTATTTTCACTCCCACCAAACTGTAAACTAATCTTATCGTTGATAACATATTATCATTATTATCACTTCTTGCATTTATCATACGCATTGCAGCTATTATCACTCCTACTAAACTGTAAACTAACCTTATCGTTGATAACACATTATCACTGTTATCACTTATCACTTATTTACAAATGCTGTCGTTCTGCTATAGCTCTGTTATCTTTTTTAACAAACTATTGTAAATAATTTAAAATTAAAATAGCACAAATAA